TCACAACGGACAGCTGAACGAACCTAACCGACGCACACGATTAACATGCGGCTAGAGGTACACGATGCCGGAGCGCACCCATCCATGTGCACCGAAGAAAAGGTTCGAAATGGACGTCATGAAATGGTAAGGTATATTGGTCGCTTTGAAGTGTACATATGTCCTTCCGGCAGGCGCATTTTCTTCTTCGTGGAGTGTTCATTTGGCCGAAGTACTGAAGCGAGAGGAATATATAATTTAGGCTATCAAATATCACCATAAGGCGGGTGACCGACACACTGGTAGAGACACTTACCCCAAAATTCACTCCACCAACTATGATGCTGTAGATGCCTGTTCACACAACGCTATCTTCAGCGGTTATTTCGCATGCCGGGACACACTGCGCTAACTCTGCTTCGGTCCAGGTCAACATCATAACACGCCCTCTTTGTGGACCGGGTAGCAAGCTCATGTCTGCGTTTTCTGGATGGGTCCAGAGCTAAGAACCAAAAGTAATTAATTTTCATGTGAACTCACATTTGGGACAGGCCTCAAGAGCACCATCACACAGTGGACAAGGTTCACCATCACAACAGTCGGCACACCCAAAATAAGTTCGCCGAAACTATAAGGTTTTCGAAGTTGATATTTTAATTGGGAGTTGGTCTAATCAATTTGCATTTTCTGTGACATGTTGCAAGTAGCTTTTTGTTTAAGTGAGCGAAATTTCAAGGTCATTGACCATCGCAGATTTACATTTTTTACCGGTTTACGCGACACAAAACACGAAATCGCACTTTAGCATATTTTGGCGTTTCTCGGTGTTCCAGAAGAATAAAATAACATCTTAAGAGTATTTAATGCAAATGCCACCCTATAGGATCAGTTGTAAGCTTTTGTTTGACTTAGACACCTCAGATTTAACAATCGGGATATTTTGTTCGGCGAACCTGCTCACAACACATTTTCCTCATGGATCTCATATTCCATTAAGTGCAACAAAGTTAGATTACATCACAAACTTGCAGTGGCAGTGCGAGATCCATCTGCAGATGATTCCCTTTTCCCAGATATTCTTGTAGATAATAGTGTTACGAGATAGCTGTGGGCGTCTTTCCTACCATAATTATGACGTACTGTAGGTGGTGACCACCAACCATGAAGCGGTCGCCACGATGACGGTAGCCGTTGTCACTCACTTCGACTACCTATTGTAGCTGCTGGATCTGTGTCTATGTGCGACGCTAATTACGGTTCCCCACATATGTACGGCAGCCCAATCCAATGAGCAACGACGGCCCCTTGTGTCCTGATTTAACTGCCGACGATGACCCGTCATACCCATAAATGTGCGCGCTCTCGCTTATGTCTTTTACTTATATCATCCTGTAGAGCATGAAATCAGTGTTAAAAACCGATCTTCACTGTCGTACCTGCCTGCTACTTACAGTAATCACCAAGCCAGTATCTATGCGGGCCGATAGAAACCAGGTTCCAACTATGCGTGACATCTTAACGACCAACGGCTGCCCGTCATACTCGTAACTGCAGTTGATATCG